TTCCTAGTTCAAAAGAGCTGTTTGTGAAGGTCTCATTAAAAACAACGTTACACTGAAACACCTAATAAATAAAACATACTGCAAGTTATTGTAGTCAACTTATTGGGCGAAATCCTGGTTCTGTTGGCTTCAATCAGTGGAACCAAAATTTCACCCATAAATTTTGAGTACTTCTCCTTTTTATTCCTAAATTTTAATGTACTGTGCCCTCAATGTATAGAGCATTGAGCACTTCCTGCAAGGTTTGAGCGTCAACTGAAGTCCCTGGGAGTTGAAAATGAGCAGCACCAGGCAGGATCAAGTCTTTTAAAAAAAAAAAGACATCATAATTTTATAGCTAGTGAGTTAGTAAATTATGCTAAACATCCACTCGACATTGCAAGAGGTGTGTTGAATTCCCCACCCCCTCTCTCCATCTAGAGAAGTCAGAAGCGAAGCTGCTCCTGAACTTAGGGAGTATGAGGCAAGAAGAGTTTAATATAAGGAGATTTTCACTTAAAAAAAAAAAACACACCTCTTAAATATACTACACAATTTTCAAGAGCTTGCTTACAAGCTCCAGTGTGTTGCTCAGCTGCCACAGAGGAAAAACTGGTCAGAACCATTCTAAGTGCTGCCAGTCCTGTACAAAGAAAAATGATGTCCAGCTCCCATTACTAAGGAAGCAGCTTAGAGAGGTCCCACTGAGGGCTTCCTTCCCAGATGATTTATGAGACGTTCATAGCTCCCAGAAACTGGGGGGAGGGGAAAGAGCATCAAGATAAACATAATACTTTCTAGCTCCTCTCTCCTGAAATCATGCCCCTAGCAAGTCTTAGACAGCTGCACGTTTGTTTTTAAATCCACATTTACAAAATCATGTCTTCTTTGTAAATTTGGGAACGGAAATATGTTCATCCATTAAACAGCCTGTTCTCCATTCAATGAAAGTCAATTTGGTGTGAAGTTATTTAAAGCAGGGTGATTTAAGAGGGGTTTTTTCGTTAGTCGTATAATTCCAGGCTAGATTTTAGATAGCTATCCAGAAGAATTCTAAGATTATTTTTTCCCCATTTTCTAAAAAGACCCAATTAATGTCCTACATTGCATAGAGTAAGGGTTAGCTAGAAACTTGACCTCTGGGAAACATCTTAATCCCACAAGGTACTGAAAATCTCAACTCCCAGTGACTGAGCTAAGCACCTCATAGCATTAGACCCCAAGAGAACTTGTCCAAAGAGCCTATTTAGAGCTCATATTTGAAGAACATATGCAATTTCATCTTCAAATTTCACTTTACCTCAGTGAAAAGATACGAGAAAGTGTCTCTATTCTGTAGAAAGCTACACTCTAAAGTTACTGTTTTCTTTTAGTTTGATGCACAAGATTTGTCAGTCCTATATTGTGTGTAATTACATAATTTGTTATAGGCAAAGGTACTATAAAACATCAATGGCAGTTCACCCGTATAAGAACCAGGCTTGAATTATTTCAGAACCTGCCAAGACTTAGTCCTAGTATTTCAAATAGCATAGCTACGTCACTTGACTGGAGGTCAGACTCCCATTCGCCCATTAATGCCAACCATGAGAAGACACAGACAGACAGTCAAACAGAACTCTTCCCTTTTAAGCAAGTATTTGACTTATAGATTTTAGACGGTAAGTTATTTGGACCAGAGAATCTTTATTCTGCCTGGCACAGCACTGATGACATTGCTGGTGCATAGTGATTTATTAATAATGGCTCACAATTACTTTTAATCACATGCATATATTATTGCTTATGAATCTGTATCCAGCTGTTCCAGCAGAGATATTGCCTTCATCTAAAGGCATGACTGATATTAGGGAAGGGAACACAGAGAGAAATTTTTCAGAGTTTAGAGATTTTTATGGAAAATTACTGAAGGAATAAATGAGAAAAGGTTAACACTTAAGTTGAAATGGAACCCTGGACATTCTAAAGTGTTTTAAAGGATAGTTTCCGAGTGCTCCCATCTCTAACAGGAATAGATACAAGGATTTTATGCAAACAGGTTGAGAGATTATACTGGACATATGCACCCCTTGAGTGCATTGTGAGACATAAGTTGCTGAAAGCACTTTGTTGGTAGCCGCAAGAAGTGCAGGTACCTGAAATAGCTCCAAAATTTTAAGTGCTATTGCTTTTATAAATGTTTCCTTTAAAAAGGAAGTGTATACGTTTAGTCTTAATTTTAAGAGTTTGATCTTTGCTTCCACAATTTGCACTGAATTCAGTGAGAGTTTTGCCTGAGTAAAGTGTCCAAGATGAACTGCCAAGTGTTTAAATATTTAGGTGTAGAATAAATATTGCCTCTCCACATCCCCAAGATAACACGCTCCTGTACAAGCTTTTGGGTGTTCTTGAAAGATGTAGTAATTTGGTAAGTAACCAGTGCAATTCATGCGAGTTCTGAACACTTTGTCACCACTCCTGAGCCCACACTGGTGGACAAAACAGAGGAGGGTGCTTTAAGCACCTCTGGGAAGTGATGGATTTTAAACTCCCTATCTCATGCTGTTAGGACTCCTACGTCCATTTCTGAGGGAACAGTACTGGCAGGGCTAACCAAACCGCTTGTTCATAGACCGAATATTGAAAACCACGGTTTTCCAACTCTAGAACAGACTATTATCCAGGCTCCTTCAGATTGTCAACTTTGAAAAAAAAATATTCACCCTCTCCTTTCCCCCAAGGAAACATACCAGAGAAACAAATATCCTTTTCTGCCTCTCTCATATAGGGTATTTTTTTTTTTAAGAAGGGTAAATTGATTAAGGAGCACTAAATTGTGCTGTTATACCAGCTAATTTCACATCTGAAACCTTTGCCAGGCACATACCTACATCCATAATGTGAACTTTATACATTTCATTATTCATATCACACAGAGAGGGCTTCTAGACCACAGGTACAGTTCTCTTAACGTCAAATGACCCTTGGTCATAAGTTCTTGTTTATTTTAGCCAATTGTCTTCCCTTTCTGACAGATAGGAAGAGCACTTAGAGATAAGAAAGCCGCCTCAGCTCAGGAGTAAAGTGTTAGCAAATATTCCATAGATGTCATGGTTGATCCTTGAGATGTGTAACTTTTACACAGGAAAAAGCTATACTAACCTCAGAGCCAAAAGGACCATATCTGTGACCAGCAGCATCTGGTTGTTCAGAGTAGAAAGCATAAACATAAGGCCTGAAAGAAAGATTTTGTTCAGAATAGTCTGCTTTCAACCACAAAAGAAGAAGAAATTGCCAGGTCATGCTAAGTCAGCCTTTCAAATATTGTTTGCCATATGTAAAAAATTGCTGCTCAGTCAGATGTTTTCCAAAGTGTGATCAAGCAATTAGTTGCTCCAGAACTTCATTAGATAACAGAGCACACAGTCTGAGGACGCTCACTCTCCCTTCGTTCTGTATGAAGGAGAGATCATGATACCAGCTCACATGGGCTATGAAGCCTGCAGCATGTGAGAACTTGTGTAATAAAAAACACAATTAAGATCTTAACATTTTCCCAAGCTTTAGAGTGCATCTTCTGCATTTACCACTGCCTAGAAGTTTATTAAGCCACATTAGATTAAGTAGCGTAAAACAGCCAACATTAATCCATGTAATTAAATGTTCCCCAATAATTAAAGGACATTTGCATCAGAGGTTTTTTGAGGAGGGTTAAAACACTGCTGGTTAAAAGCTAAGAGCATCAACGAATAGTGATACTGAATGCTGGCAAGAATAATTTTTAATACTAATATTCCAGCTGTTTCTGCATCTCCAGCTACTTTTAAAGAGAAGGCAAGTTGGAAGTTTACAAAAAAAGGAACACTACATGAATTACCTTTCATTGTCTGGTAGGGTTAGCCACTGCAGTATTGTTAATATTCTGCGTTCATGGGGGATGACACTAGACCACAAAAGAAAAATAGGTTTAGTTATTGTTGTATACAGAGAAGATAATCATTAGGTATCCTATGATCTGGACCTATCATGGACAAGCCAATCTTCTTTTTTTTGCTCATCAGAGTTCAAATTTCATTCCCATTTTGCAGCTCAAGTTATTGCTCATCTTCTGCAACTCCATGTATTATACTGAAAAGATAGTCTGATTAATATCTCTCTCTCTCTCATTTGAGCCACCACTCTCAAGGAAACAGTTCATTTTTCTACTGTCCTATGTAGCAGTGGATAAGGACCCATTCCTGTGAACTTTTATTCATGTGAGCAGTCCTTGCTCATAACAATAGTTCTGCTGAAGTCAACAGTACTGCCAGCCTAAGTAAGGACTACTCACATTAGTAGCATTTACATGATCTGCTCCCACTACTACTGGGACTTTTCAGCTTGGAAAAGAGATGACTAAGGGGATATTATAAAATCATGACTGGTGTGGAGAAAGTAAATAAGGAAGTGTTATTTACTCCTTCTCAGAACACAAGAACTAGGGGTCACCAAATGAAATTAATAGGCAGCAGGTTTAAAAACAAACAAACAGAAGTATTTCTTCACACAACGCACAGTCAACCTATGGAACTCCTTGCCAGAGGATGTTGCGAAGGCCAAGACTATAACAGGGTTCAAAAAAGAACTAGATAAGTTCATGGAGGATAGGTTCATTAATGGCGATTAGCCAGGATGGGGAGGGATAGTATCCCTAGCCTCTGTTTGCCAGAAACTGGGAATGGGCGACAGGGGATGGATCTCTTAGTGATTACCTGTTCTAGTCATTCCCTCTGGGGCACCTGGCATTGGCCACTGTTGGAAGACTGGATACTGGGCTAGATAGACCTTTGGTCTGACCCAGAGTGGCCACTCTTATGAAGTTATTAGAAAGGCTCACATTGACTTTGGTGGGAACTGAATCAGGTCTTAAATTGGTATAAACCAGTTTCTCTCACACAGATATGTAACCCCCTTGGCGTTCAGAGAGCATGGCCCTTTAAATCTTTTTCCTAAGGGGGAAGTGCTGATTGTTCCAGAAGGAGGAAGTGCTGTTGGGGGCAGGAGGAGCAGAGAGAGAGGGGAGTGTCAGTGTGTGGCTCTGGACAGAAAGGCTGCAGCAAGCAGGCCCTCACAGAGGGAAGCAGCCAAGAACCTGCATGAAGCCTGGGAAGAACAGAGCGGCCCATTGGGGACACCCCAGGACCGGAGCCAGGAGGAGCACGGTGCCGGGGAGGAATCAGCCGAGAAGGACAAACTGGAGCTGGACCCAGTATCACTGCTGCCCAGAGCTACATGAGGCTGTGAGTACTGGGGCTTGTGACCTTGCATTGGAAATAAAAAGGGAGGCTGTTAGCTAGTTAAGTGGGGAGGTTGTCGCTCTGTGTGGCTTTGTAGAGAGCGGCAGAAGAGGGCACCGGAGTGGTTTGTTGGGGAAAGTTTACTGGTGTTGAATATGACCAAGAGCACCCAAGACTCACCACTGGACTGGAACTTTGCCCAAGACTCTTGAACTCTGTGTGCAGACACATTGCTCGGTGTCTGCCCTTCCAGATTGTGGTACCACTGGGCCTATGGGGCCTTGTATTGAATGCAACCCTGTTTTATTGCTCCCCATATAATTCCCCCTGTTCCTCCCCCCCCCCATCCCTCTGTGAATAAATATTTCCCTTTCCTATATTCATTGTACTCTTCTGGTGGGTGTGTGCGTTCACTCTGGGGGTTTGGAACAGGTGCCCCTGGGGTGGAAAGGGCTTTCCCTGCTGCATTCCTGCGCACGCCTTCTCTTGGCCAGAGCTGCCTGCAGAGCAGACTCCATCTAGGCCACGAGGGCGCTAAAATTACATATACATTTAGAATGCCAGTCATTCAATCAGCATCATGACGCTCAATTTTGAAACTCTTATTCTGCTAAAACCTCCTTAAGAATACTGAGACTTCCCAGTTGGGTGGTGAGACTAATATCTACAAGAAACAGAAGAAGCAGAAGCAGAATTTTTAAACAGAGTTGTTAATCTTTAAAAATGTCATCTTTTTGTGTTCAAGACAAAAAGCTATATGAAACTAAGTTAAGACTGAGAACATACATTGGTAATTTAAGGGTATAAATTACATCCCGCCAATGTTTATCACAAAAACAAGCATTACAAATCTTAACTCTGAATTTCCTGGATTAAGTTTAAAAGAAATCCCAACATTCTAAAGTATGGAAATGCACAGGTCAGACACCCAAACAGCCTTAACTGTGCATGGTGTCACTACAGGACAATGATCACCCAATTATGGCTAGTGCATTATAGTTTAACTTAATCTGGAACCAGACACTAACTGTTAAAGCAGCATTTCTCTTTTTGGCTCATGGTTTCACTACATGGCTGTCCCCCTATGCTGTCAAAGTCCACCATAGGTGATGGAAGCCACTTTGAAAGTGGGCAGTTAATCATGGAATTCTCTGTAGTAAAACATTCACCAGCTTCTCCTGTACAAGTAAATTCCAGTTACGAAGAATGGAGAGGGGAAAAAATTACCATTCATCCTAAAAAAATTATTCCTCAAAACATAGTGAGTTTAACTATATGGTAAGTTTGAAGAGTCTACATCACTCCATTATGTAAGTCATTTGGGAATAATAAAGGGTTTGCTAAATTTCTTAAGGGATAACTTACAAATTCTCAAACAACAACATTAATTCTGGGCCCAAAGTGCACGTGCTATAATTCTGGGGAGTATACACACTCTTCAGACGTACAGTGGCTGAATGCCTACTTCCAGAATTATTTCAAGTTCGCATTTAACTATGAAACCACATAATAGATTCTAAATAATGTGAATTACTTAAAACCATTAGTCACTATGCCCAGCATGACTATGTAGTGGTAGCATATTTTCTTAACAGACAAGGAAAGTAAGTGAGGTCCCTTGCTCCTAAACCAGCAAGTTAGAACTCATGCAGATTAGGGGTGGGGGTATGGCAGTGGGCGCTTCTGTCTATCACAGACATTTTCATAGCAGTCACAGATCCACAGGATCTGTGATACGCCCTAGCTTTTACACAGCCTCTTGGACCAAGGGGTCTCATTCTTTCTTAAGAGTAGGCTCTGCAGCCTCATCACCTCAGAGACTGAATCTCTAAGCTTCATGACTCCTGCTTCACACCAGGAGCTCTGCCCAACACCACCTGAGAGACTCCTAGGCCTGGTCTACACTGCAGGGGTGTGAAAAACACCCCCCCTCCGTGAGCGATGCAAGTTTCAGCGCTGTAAAGTGGCAGTGTAGACAGTGCTCCCAGCGCTGGTAGCTACTCCCCTCATGGGGGTGGTTTTTTTTTAAAAGCACTGGGAGAGCTCTCTCCCAACGCTGGTGCTGCAACTACACAGCCAGGTACGGCAGCGCTTTGATGTTGGCAGGGAAGACATACCCCAGTCAGAAACTTTTACTCTCTTCAGGGACACAGGCACCTCAGCAAGTATTTGCAGTTACACCAGACAGCCTTTCCAAAACAAAGGAGGGTTTATGAGTCAACTGGAAGACAGCATTGGAAGTCCTTAACACAGAGAAGCAGAGTCCATCCAGCGACACCTGAGCAATCTGCTAGCCACGCTGCTATGGACTCCATTTCAATCTCTGTGTCCCTTTGTCTGACCATAGTGACAGCAGTCCAGCCTTTCCCGAACGTCAACTCTCCAGCCTGTCACCTCTCAGACCTTTATTCTCGAGCTGGCCTCTGCTCAGCCTTCCTGTTGAGAGGTGGGGAGAAAGCCTCTTTCCTCTTTGTTATTGATTGCTAGGTGTCAATGTGCTGTCCACCAGGAGTTTCCATGGTCTTCCCAGATATTCCATTGACATCGGTTAGCCTCCACCAATCCTTTAATGGCCCAGTAAGTCCACCCCAGACATCTAGGCAGCACACACACTTCATGCCTCCTGCACTGCCCCAAAAGCAGATTTAACCCGTTAGCCCCCACTGGGTAGCAATGCAAAGTACAGGGGGAAACTGAAGCACACACAGGATTCATAAAAAAAAAGAAGATTACAGAAAATTCCCATTTCATCACAATAGCACATATCACTGTGATATTCAAGAGCATCATTCTGGTGGAAGGCTTTACCAAAAAAAAAAAAAAAATGAGAAAGATCCATTTAATACTTTGAGCTAAACATACTCTGCTCTCTTCCAGCAAGGAGTTCCACAACAGGATCTCTGCTGCCAAAGTTTGTCAGAAGGAAGAAAATGGGGTGATCTCACTTCCCTCTAGTAATCTTTCAGAGCTCAGAAATGATACATATCCAGCCATTTTCAGATAGAAAGATGGCTGGCTGAATGCAGGATTAGGCAGTAAAGGAGAACAGCAGCAGGGATCCTCAGAATTGTCTTCTGGATTGGAGCAAGGGGAAGAGGGTATTCATCCAAAACATGGACAGTCATTTTTAAAAGACAAATTGTTTCATTTGAGGGGGAAATGTCTGAATTCGTTAGGCTGCAACGCTGGCACATTTTCATCATGCCAAATGCTGTAAGTGGCAGGAGGGCAGAAGAGGCTCCTATAAACACCCTTACATAGAATATCAGGGTTGGAAGGGACCTCAGGAGGTCATCTAGTCCAACCCCCTGCTCAGAGTAGGGCCAATCCCCAACTAAATCATCCCAGCCAGGGCTCTGTCAAGCCAGGCCTTAAAAACCTCTAAGATGGAGAGTCCACCACCTCCCTAGGGAACCCATTCCAGTGCTTCACCACCCTCCTAGTGAAATAGTGTTTCCCAATATCCAACCTAAACCTCCCCCACTGCAACTTGATCCCACTGCTTCTTGTTCTGACATCTGCCACCACTGAGAACAGCCAAGCTCCATCCTCTTTGGAACCCCCCCTTCAGGTAGTTGAAGGGTGCTATCAAATCCCCCCTCACTCTTCTCTTCTGCATCCAAGGGCTAAAAGAGTATGTTGCTGTTAAGGCCTGGTCTACACTTAAAAGTTAGGTTGCATAGCTATGACATTCAGGGGTCTGAAAGATGTACACAGCTGAGCCCTGTAGCTTTGTCAACTTAATACCTGGTGTAGACGCAGCGAGGTTGACAAGACTACTTCCCTTGAGCTAGCTAGGAAACTGGAATTCCTACAGCAACAGAGGGGAAAAAACCAAAACAAAACAAAAAACACCACACAACAGGCATTTACAGAGATATAACTACAGTGCCGTAGCTGTACCACTGTAGCACCCATAGTCTAGACATGGCCTGAGACTAAGCTGCCAGATAACTTTTAGCTAAAGTTGAGCAATACAATTAACAACATAACCACACTTATTTTCCACTCAGGAGCCCTCCACAAAGAAGTCGTCAGGCTCTGGACCAAGGTAAATGTCACATTGTAATATATTATTTAACAAAATTATAAAGAAACCACAGTGGGGGGTGGGAAATGGGGTGGGGTTTTAAGCTTTCTTTGGCTGGGAAGCTATTGAATGTTAGAGCCAGGGAAACTAATGAACATTTACTTACACCAAATTAAGTCTGAATTATTTGCAACAGGTCTTCAGAAATAAAGGTCACTTACACAGACCAGAAGAATGTCCCAGCTTTCACCCCTTGCTTGGTAGCAGTAATCCATATCTAATGAGGAAAATATAAAAGGATTATAATAGTACTCAAGTCTTGATTTAAAAAAAGAAAATTAAAGCAAACTTTTTCAAAACGTTTTCCAACCATAAACAAGGAAGTAAAGTGTAGCCTTTAGAATCTCATCTCAAATTTGAGCATTTGTAAGAAGAGACGCTGTTCTATACAGATTTTGGGGAAGTGAATTATTCTTTAGTCAGCCATGTTGAGGTATGCAGTGTTGTAGCCAAGTGGTCCCAGGATATGAGAGAGAGAGGGAGAATTAGTAAGGTAATATCTTTTATTGGACCAACTTCTGTTGGAGAGAGAGAGACACACAGACAAGCTTTTGAGCTTACACAGAGCTCCTCTTCAGGTCTGGGAATTATGAAGAAGAGCTCTGTGTAAGCTCAAAAGCTTGTCTCTCTCTCCCTCACCAACAGAAGTTGGTCCAATAAAAGATATTACCTCACCCACCTTGTCCTGCAGCCACGTGGAGGGTCATTTTATACTTTTCTTCCATTTCACCTTAAATCTCCATTACTCCTCTTTCACAGGAAGTGATGTAGCTGCGTGGCCTACATGAGGCACTTCTAGCCATCAAAGGACAGCAATATCCCATTTTGGCCTCTTTCTGATCAAAACTGGGAGAACACCAATTTAGCAAACAACTATCAAAAATTTCAGAGTAGCAGCCATATTAGTCTGTATCCACAAAAAGAAAAGAAGTACTTGTGGCACTTTAGAGACTAACCAATTTATCTGAGCATAAGCTTTCGTGAGCTACAGCTCACTTCATCCAACGTGAGCTGTAGCTCATGAAACCTTATGCTCAAATGAATTTGTTAGTCTCTATAGTGCCACAAGTCCTCCTTTTCTTTTTGTCAAAAATTTGTTACTCAAAACTAGAAGACATGCTTGGAAGATTTTCTTCAACAAAAAACAAAAAAAACCCACACACTTTGGCTGAACAAGAAATAAATAGCTTCCAGTGGTCACGTATTGGAAAATACCTCTTAACTCGGAACCTTCTGTGTCAATATATGTTCATCATCATCATCTTCTAGACAGTTGCCTGTGCATGAATTATTCCACAGCCACATCCTGAATTTTCTACACACATCTTACTTTAGTCTTAACTGAACTAATTTAATGAAGTGTTTAAGTGCTATGAAAATGGAGATTTTTATATTTGAGACTGTTAATAAACATTTAACCTAGGTATATTGTTCTCATTACACAAGGATATTAATAAGCACCTTCACTCCTCCCTTCAATCCACTTTTCTCCCCTTGAAAAGCTCCATAGTTGATCTCTGCACCCTCAATGCCTCCAAACCTTATTTCTCAAGTTTTTTTCTCTCTTTTACTGTTTGTTTACAGTTGTTGGCCAGAAAATAAAGATCAATCAAGTCCTCCAACAGTAGCTAAAGCTATGTACCAATCCTAATTATGATTACTACTGAAACTAACCATGACCCCAATGAAGTGAGCTCTAGCTCACAAAAGCTTATGCTCAAGTAAATTTGTTAGTCTCTAAGGCGCCACAAGTCCTCCTTTTCTTTTTGCAAATACAGACTAACATGGCTGCTACTCTGAAACCGGTCATATTTCTAGGTAGTGATTCTAAGCACATCCCCCAAGAGACACCCTCCTTCTGACCAAGCTAGTAAAATGGAAGTAGCTTTGACAGATTAATGATTAGGATTGGCACACATTGCCAAGGCATCCTGCGTATCAGCCGAGATGTTGATAGTTGGTTTTAATTCTGATCCTCTGCCCAGCCTCTTTACAAAAGTCCTGCTGAAAGGCATATACAGATCAGGGCATGTTCTGTGAACACCACAGTTTTGCTTGGAATAGGAGTCTCCATGCATAAGACCTGTCTACTTTTCAACGTTATGCTCACATGAAGCCTGCATCTGAAAGCCCTCTGTGTGCGAAACGCCCACTGAAGTCCATGAAGACTTCTACATATAACAGCCTTACTGGACTGAGTTTAAGAGGTGACAGGAGACAGCCCAGTAGAGTTAAATCCTCTACATTATAACTGTTCTGTGAATAGATACAAGGGTAGCAGGAGCAGTGGCAGTACAAGCTTCCCGACACTGTACTCGAGCAACCTGTCCTATCGCTGAGGAACTAGTTCTGCCTCCATGCCTACCTAACAGTGGTGAGACTGCAATTATATTCGTATTGGAACATGGACTCAGTAGACCTGAAATTAGTCCAACAACTCCTCAAACAATGAGCACTCAGAAGTCATTAAAGACTAACTACTCATACGGTCGATATTTGAACTGATGCCTTACGGAAAGGGAAGCGGGTGTCTGAATCAGTTTCTTATCCTTGGCAGACTACCATCATGATAAATTTAGCTCTATGCTACACGGACAATAAGATACTATAGGATCATTTGAAAAACTACTTTGGTTTATTTTTGTAGAACTAAAAGGAAAAAAAAAAAAGTTTGCCGTAATGCAATTTCATGCCAAGATCCACAACAACAACAAAAAATTGGAAGCAATATTTCAGGGCATCTGAAGAGGAGACTGCAATGGTCATCCAGATGTAACATATAGATGCACAGTTTAACACCAAACCAAGTTTAGGATTACAACAGACATATTAGACCGAATTCAGTACCCTAAAAGAGCAGGATATAATTGTCCCCCACCCCTACTCCTCCCAATGGATAACATAATATAATTAAATGGACACTACAAATGATTTTAGCCTAAATGCCAATTGTAGACAACAAAAATAAGGCTGACATCCTATCCCTCCCTCCAGAACAGCAAGAGTTGAGAACAAAGCATGCGGGTTATCTTTGAACATCCTCCCTCACTGGTTTGTGTCACAACTTTAAAGTTATATAAACCTCAAAGTCCCTGTACTGTACCTATAAATTTAAATGTATTTTATAATCCTCTGTGACGAGCATGTTTGTTCAGGTCAGTTATCCTGCAGTTTGCTGTGTTTGATTTTGCAAGGTCAGCATCATTTGTGAGTTTAAGTCATTTATTTGTTATACGTAAATACACCAGTTTTAGCTGCTAGTGGAAACTATATCATGTAACATGCATGTACCTTATATTACATCACACCACACCCTGTATCGCAAGCTATAGTAGGTCTATATTATTAAAGTACCCTACTAGCACAGAGGAGAGAGGAATAACATTTAAAACATTATCCAGCATTCCCTATTACTGTGTATCACAAGAATTAGAGTATGTTTAATTTCTACAGCGCAGAGAAGTCTGTTGTATTAAGGACCCAAAGATTCAGCTCTAGTGCAAAAGCCAGTACTCAAATCCAGCTTAGAAGATAAACGATTTTGCATGTTTACAGGGTCATATATTAATGCCTTTAAACACCTCTGAATTACAGTATTACTCTATTTCTTTTATTAGTAGGTAGACACAAAGAAGTTAAGCGACTTGTTCAGCTTTATACAGGACATCAGTGGCAGCACCCAGGAACAGAACTTAGGAGTCCTCAGAACCCCTAGTCTCCTGGTCAAACTGCTAGACAATACTGCCTTTGTGTATGTACATTACTACAAGGAAAATCAATTGGCATGGCTCCTGGACTAGATTGTGAAAGCCAGCAAAGTGCAACATCTATTTTTAATCTTTTGTGGAAAAATAAGTTCCAAATCACTTCATAAAGCTTTCCCAGTATTTGTTGCATTATGAAAGTACGGGCAAAAGCACATCCTAGGCCAAGGCCAATATAAAGTAAATGCACTGCATTTTGGCTCTTGTGGGATCACTGTACAAACACTTCTTCTGCAAGCTGGCCAAGGAGGGAAATTCTGGTCAGAAGCAGAGGTACTGTATACACCATCTGTGGTTGAGGAGAGGTAATGTCTGGGTGGGAAATCCCTTTCTCATTAAGAAATGGCCCGGGGGGGGGGGGGGGAATTGCACAGTAACTTACAGGGTTTCTGAGGTAAATCTGCATTCAAATTTGGTACAACTATGTAGAATTAAAACCAGAGCTGTTTCATGTGTATCCACTACCAAAAAGGTAAAATATACAGCAACCCCTTCCCTACCATGCACCTTTTATCTGACTGAGATAATTATGTGACTAAGTAGTTTAGCACAATTGCCCTCTGGCACAGTCAGACATTTTTGGTATCAGAAAGCTATTACCTAGTAATTGGCTGAGATAGGGTCAGACACACAGGGTGGATTTGCCAATTTAAAGCCAAAAAAGTTGCTTATGGAATGAAATTCTTTTGGATATCCATTTTCTCCCTATTGACCATGAAGGATCAAGAAAATATCATTTTAAAACAATTGATAGGTTTTTACAATAGAAAGGCTGGATGCAGCTTCCTGCAGAGCCCCATCTCTCTCCTTTTAATCTCACCATTTTATCAATACTCTTCCTATGTTGGTTGTGAGAGACTATTTGAGTAAGCTATGAAGCTCCTTATTCCCTCAGGAAATATTCCAACTGCCTCCATGCTGCCAGTCCCTCCTAGCCTGAGCTTGATCCTTTGATAGCCAATGCAACATATTCCTATTAAACAGGGGCAAATCTGATATGTTTCAAAAATAGAGATTGCTTAGATGTAGGACTTGTTTTTCCCCCTGAAACTGACATTTCTAAACTATGTAGTACTTGGACCTAATGTCTAGAGACTATAAACACAGCACTGAGACACAACATGTATTCCAGTGACTCATTAATATACAGCAGCTACAAGTAAGGTGGTGGTTTAGGAACATGATGTTCCTTTTGGA